GGCTCGGCAGTGAAGTGTCTCCACCTTATCTTAGGTAGCTACAGATTTTACCTCAAACCACTGTTTCTAGAGGAAAGGGATCATGGATGTGGTGGGGATGGTGTCAGAGAACTGAATCCTCAGCTACACAAAGTCATAGAAATGTATACAGTTAATACATCAATAAATAGCCAGGTAAGCACATTACTTAAAAGTATGGAAGTAACTCTCAGAAGGAATAGTTGAAAACTCCTGCCCCTGGGAGATGAGTCGTGGTAGGAATACTTTTTTTTCCTTTATAAGTCTATCTTTTTTGTTTCGTAAAACAAAAATTAAAAACATGTTCAGTCACCAAAACTCATTCAAGAAGGAGTAGATACCCTTATGCTGATTACAGAAATTTAATTCATAGTTTAAAACCTTCCAAAAAGAAAACTCCAGTCCCAGGTGGTTTCACTGGTGAATTCTACCAAAAGTTTAAGGAAGAAATGATACCATTTCTGCACAGTCTCTTCCAGAAAGTAGAACACTTGCAGTACTTTGTCTGGGCACCACCCAGACAAAGACACTACAGGAAAGAAAAAAACGACAGACCAATGTCTCACATGAACATAGATGCAAAACTCCAACAAAATGTTAATAAATCAAGTACGGCAATGTATAAAAAGGGGAACACATCATGACTAAGTGGAATTTTTCAGGAAAGCAAGCCTGGTTCAACTTTTGAAAATCAATCAATGTAATTCACAATATTAACACAGCAAAGAAGAGCCATCTGGGGCTTCCCTGGTGGCGCAGTGGTTGGGGGTCCGCCTGCCGATGCAGGGGACGTGGGTTGGTGCCCCGGTCCGGGAGGATCCCACATGTTGCGGAGCGACTGGGCCCGTGAGCCATGGCCGCTGAGCCTGCACGTCTGGAGCCTGTGCTCCGCAACGGGAGAGGCCACAACAGTGAGAGGCCCGCGTACCACAAAAAAAGGAAAAAAAAAAAGAAGAGCCATCTGGTCATCTCAATAGATGTCGAGAAAGTGTTTGACAAAATTCAATATCCATTCACGATTAAAACAAAAACATTCAATTCTAGAAATAGAGGGAATTTCTTTAATCTGGTGGAGAACGCCTATTTAAAAAAACCTACAGCTGATGACATACATAATGATGAAAGATAAATGACAATGCTTTCTCCCTGCCATTGGGAATAAAGCCTGTTTATTCAGCATCGTTCTGTAAGTCCTCCCCTGTGCGATGAAGCAAGAAAAAGAAAGACAAGTATATGATGGGAACGGAGGCAATAAAACTATGAACACACAAAAAATCCCAAGAAATCCACCAAAAAGCTTGTAGAATGAGTGAGTGCAGTTACACGGGGTCAGCACCCCCCAGGTGTATTTATCCAAGAGAAATGAAAGTGTGTCTCCATGAAAGCCCCCCAGCTGCTTGCATCAGCCCCAGACTGGAAAGCACCGCCATGCACACCCACGCGTGCAGGGGTAACTGGCACATCCGTGCAACAAGCCGTCAGCAATAGAGAGCAAGGCAGCACGAGTCTCAGGAGACGACGTGGGAAAAGCAGAGTCGAAAGTCTACACGCGGTGTGAGTCCGTTTATGAGGCGTTCTGGAAAAGGCAGAGGGATCCGTGGTTGCCAGGTTGCAGTGGGGACGGCCTGGCTGTAAAGAGGCGGCGCGGGGGCCTCGGGGTTGGTAGCGGTGGCTCCGCGGCTGAACCCCCGGCCTCACCGGAGTGCATATCCTCCACGTAAGCCTGTGGGCTCGTGTCTTGACAGTCCCTGAGAACCCACTCCCCAGACGGGCTTTCCAGGTTGAAGGGTACGCACCCTGTGAAGGCTTTCCAGATGTAACTGTGAGACGTTCGTGCCGATTTATACTCTGCCCAGTGTTCTGGGCTCCTCTCGATCCTTGGCCTGGGGCAGTGGCCCCCGTGACCCTGGCCTGGTGGGGAAGCGGGTGAATTACGGAGCTCCTGAGGGGAACAGCTCGGCAATTTCTGATAAACATGAAAATGTTCTTGTCTGCCAGCCCGAGGATGCCACAGCCCTGGAGGAGCGCTAGCAGTTCCGTTTGGTTGGTTTCTCGGTGACGGTGGCTAATAGTGTTCACGTAAGGTTTGCAGTGCGGCACGGAATCTCACGTGCGGCCTCGACGTTTCTGGATGTGCGGGGACATGGACAGTGTGGCCACACAGCCCACTGCCCTGCGTCCACGTCTGCGGTCAGCTCAGACTCGACGCCGTGGTGACAGCTGCTTCCTTGGGGGCAGCTGCCCTTAGTTCTTGAGCCACAAGTGATTGAAGGATGCGCAGTGACTCTTCCAGGACCACAGACTGAGGGAGAGGGGAGGGACCAGCACACAGGGCGACGCCTGCAGGAGCATCACGCACGGACTCTCAGGCTGGTGCCGAGATCCCGTCCGGGGGAGGGGGCGCGGCGTCCTGCGGCCTTTCCCTGGCAAGGGAAGTCTCCCATGGGACCAGGCAGGACCCAGGGCCCCGGGGGAGGTGGCGGTGCCTCACGGGAGCCCTGGTGGAGCCCATGAGGGGCACCAATGCAGGCTGTGCGGGGGGAGCTGCAGCCTCGGGAGAAGGCCCTGCCCACCTCCATCCACCTGCCACCTCAGCCCCACAGCTGTGCTTCTAGCCTCCTGCCCTAGAGGACGACCAGGCCACCCCAGGGCTCCACAGCCGCCAAGGCCAGTTCTGGGCCACCCACACCTCCCTGTCCCTTCTCCCCCCTCCTCAGGAACCCCCTTGCCTGTGGGGGACCCTCCCTCCCACCCCCAGCCCGGCTCTTGCACCCCCAGCGAGAACCCCCTGCACCTGGTCCCGGTGAGTGGCAGGCCTGTGATGGTCGCGTGTGGTCCAGGCTGCGGAGCCCAGAGGTTCCTTACGGCAGATGCTGCGCCCTCAGCTCCCCGCACCCACGGGTGGCCGGAGGCGGAGGGGCTGAGAAGGGGTCAGGGCTCCAGTGTGGTAGCGGCCCAGCCGGAGAAAGGGGCTCTGGGTCCTGGGATTCCCTTTGCTGCTCCTGTGTTTCCTCTGTGGAGCCGAAAGGTGCTTGTGATTCTGAAGGGGGAGCCCTTTCCCTGGGCTCTGGGGGTCGCCGGTCCATTTGAGTGGCTCTGGCACATTCCAGGCCGTCTTCCTGGGGTCAGAGGTGGCCCTGCAGTTCTCATGGGAACACCCCCGGGGGACACGAAGGGTGGTGTGGAGGTGAGACGGTCCCACCCACCGAGACCAGACACGGAGGCCCCCCACTGCCCGCGACTGTCCCAGGGTGTAGGGTCCCCCTTCTCTCCCTCCGGAAACGACTGCTCCGGAGTCTCCGTGTCCCCCCAAAGCCCCTGAGACCTGAGCCCTCCCCTCCCACCCCGACAGCTGGGGGGGGTAGCAGCTGTTAGCAGACGCCCCGTCCGGCCCCATTGGGAGTGGAGGGCACGAAGAGCAGACGACTGGGGCTCCCAGCCTTGAGCCGGACAGGCGGGGTGTGAAAGGTCCTCTTGGCTCGGGCAGGGGCGTCATCGCCCCGCTGCTGGTTCACAGCAGCCCGTGCGGGGCAGCTATGGCCTAATTACCAGCGTCAGTGAAAGTGCAGGCAGTGGGGCCTTCAGAAGTGGGTGAACCAGCGGAACATAGATTTACCGCTGACCCAGTTTTGGCCAAATAGGCCAGATGTGTCAAATTATGATAAATCAGCGTCATTTTCTGGACTAAAAGTTCCAGAAATAGCTGCCTCCAGTGAACCTCCTGGCTGGTCCTTAGAGGCTGAGGGGAGGCGCTCACAGTACCCGCCTCTTCCCGGACCCACCGGATGGGTCTGGCTCCAGGCCGGAGTGCTGGGGTCGCTCCTCCGGCATGGGGCAGGCGGGCCGGGGGGGCCTTTGTCCCTCCCCCCACCAGCACACGTGGCCGCAGCCCACCTGAAGGGGGGCCAGCAGCTGCACTTGGCCCAGGGATGACGGTGGACCCAGAGCCCCAGGTCGGCCTGGACGAGGGGGCCTCGTCGCGGGTGCTCCTGGGGCGGTGGGTCATGGGGCCCCCAAGCACCCCTTGGGCTGAGGTCATCAGGGTCCCGAGCAGGTGAGGCAGGTACGACCTGGGGCTCCACCTTCCCCTCCCGCTCACTGACCAGCGGGTCCCCTTCCCCTGCCCAGGTTTCCAACCCTGTCAGTCCCCAAGGCCCCAGCTGCGTCTTCCTTCCTAAATCCAGTTTTCCTGGAGCTGCTGTGTCCTAAGGCCCCAGGCCCAGCGGGACACCCCTGCTGGCTCCTGTCCAGGGCCCGTGCCAGGTGGTCAGAGGCCCGGGGCATCAGCGCCGCCTGGGAGGTGCTGTAACCTCTCAGAGCCTGACAAGGGTGTGCCCCAGGCTCACCCTCAAAGCTTGGAGCGCCCACCCCCACCCCTCGCTGCTCGGGAGTGGACTCGGCTTTTCCACCTGTGCGCCCCACGAGCGGGTCCGAGACCGAGATGGGGTGGGAGCCCTTCATCCAGCTGGAGCCGCCATCACCTCTGTTTGAGGATGGACCTGCCCAGTGACATTCAGGGGTTTATCCTAAAGCTGTGACCTTCCCCGGGGCCCACCCTTGTGTCCGGGGCCATGCAGGGAAGTAAGCACATGGCTGGTTTTTCCAGGCGCATGACCGGTAGGGTGACTGATGTAGAGGCCAAGGCGCTGGGCTCAGACAGCTCATTAATGAGAACGCCAGGCTCCGCTCGATACACATAAATTGCCCTGGGCACTGGGAGGCTGGCTCAGAAAGTGCAAATCGGAGAGGTTAGCGGGAGTCGGGGTGCCCCAGGTTCCCCGTTGACAAGTTGGTGTCCGGCTTAGGGAGCAGCCCTGCGGGGTCCTGCCCACCTCTGTGCCCTCAGGGCACCGAGGCCAGCGCTGCAAATGTCTTCTGAACCACGACCTGCTCCCCGTTGGGAGCACCAGGCGGGTCCTCACCTCCGGTCCACGTGGCGATGGAAGCTCACCACTTCTTGCTGGGCGGGGACTCAGAGGGACATGGGCCAGGTGGGCGTGGTGCAAGGCCCCGGGGACCTCACGCCCGGTGTGAGCCACGCCGAGAGTGACAGCAGAGAGCATGAGGGGCGTCTGCTGAGTCTGGTGTGTTCTCCTGACCTTTTTTTCTGTTCCTCAGCAGTGATAGAGGTAACCTGGGGAGGGGACTTGGGCTGGCTGGGGGCTCAGGGGCAAAGGTGAGACGTGGCCAGACGGGGGCAGCTGGGGAGGTCTGCACACTCTCTGGCTTCTGCTCTGGACGCCCCTGCACACAGAGCCCCGACACCGGGGTCCTCACTCACTGTCCACACCCAGCCAGCCACACTCTGGGATTAATTAATAAGTCTTTTTTAAAAATTAGCTTTGCTGGGCTTCCCTGGTGACGCAGTGGTTGAGAGTCCGCCTGCTGATGCAGGGGATACGGGTTCGTACCCCGGTCCGGGAAGATCCCACATGCCGCGGAGCAGCTGGGCCCGTGAGCCATGGCCACTGAGCCTGCGCGTCCGGAGCCTGTGCTCCGCAACGGGAGAGGCCATGACAGTGAGAGG